AAGACAAGCTTGGGACAGAAGAAAGTACACTCCGAAACAGGAAAATGAACAAGTTAATTAGTTTGGGACTTGTTTGGTAATTTGCCAGACACTACTTCACTCCAGGTTCGATGCGTCGTCGTCTCGCTTGCTGTTTGAGTTTGCTTTAGTGGATACGGCGTCGTCTGGGTTGCAACGGTCGATGGATTTGAACGTTGGAGTTCTGCCTCCTGCTCTGCTGACTCTGGTTCCATTTCAGGCGAAGAAAAACGTAGGTTTTTCTCTGATACCCCCCCGCAAGCTGGTGGGCAGAGATTCAGCACACCAAGCTTGGAGAGAAGATGATTGAAGGTTGCTGGAGGTAGAGGTTTGGTGAATAGATCTGCCAGCTGATGCACGGTGGAGATGTGAAGCACTTTGATGATGTTTGAGATGATCTTTTCGCGCACAAAATGGCAGTCAAGTTCAATGTGTTTCGTCCTTTCGTGAAAGGTTGGATTTTCAGCGATGTAGATTGCAGACTGGTTGTCGCAATAGAGAATAGCTGGTTGGGGATGACCAATTTGCAGATCTTGGAGAAGATAGAGGATCCATTGGATTTCGCAGCCTGTGTGAGCAAGTGCCCTATATTCTGCTTCACAGGAAGAGCGGGAGATGGTGGTTTGCTTTTTGCTCTTCCATGATATTAGAGAGTCACCCAAGTAGACACAGTACCCTGTTGTTGATCTTCGAGTGTCAACGCAAGCCGCCCAGTCAGAGTCACTGAAAGCCTTGAGTTGAAGTGAAGAAGTAGCTGAGAAGAAAAGTCCACTGGAGGGAGCTGATTTGAGGTATTTTAGAATTCTGAGAACTGCTTTGTAGTGGTCTTGGCTTGGATTAGACATGAATTGGCTCACCTGTTGTGTTGCATAGCTGATTTCTGGTCTTGTAGTGGTGAGGTATATGAGCTTGCCCACGAGCCTTCTGTATAGAGTGGGATCTGGAAAGGGATCAGAATGTTGAGATGATAGGTGAACCTTGTAATCCATTGGTGTAGTGACTGGTTTGCAATTCAATAAATCTGCTTCTTCCAAAATTTCCAGTGTGTATTTCCTTTGAGAAATGTGGATGCCTTGTTTTGATCTGGCCACCTCGATGCCTAGGAAAAATTTGAGGGTTCCCAAATCTTTGATGCTGAAGGCATTGTGTAGGGACTGTTTGAGACTATTGATTTCTTGTAAGTCAGTTCCTCCAATGACCAAGTCATCCACATACACCAGTATGCATGTGTAGGAGGACTTAGTGGCCTTGTAGAATAATGAATGATCCACTTTGCTCGATTGGTAGCCTTGTGATCTGAGCTTGTCTGCTAGTTTAGAGAACCACTGCCTTGATGCCTGTTTTAGACCATAGAGTGATTTTTTCAATAGGCAGACTGGAGATTTGAAGCCTGCAGGAGGCTTGTAGCCTTGTGGCAGTTTCATGTAGACTTCCTGGTCAAGGTCCCCATGTAAAAAGGCATTGTTCACATCCAAGTGATGGACATGCCAGTTTTGTGCAGCAGCAATTGCTAAGAAAAGCCTGATGGTTGTCATTTTGACAACTGGGGCAAAAGTGTCTTGGTAATCAACTCCTTCCTGTTGGTTGTAGCCTTTGGCTACCAGTCTTGCTTTGAACCTGTCAATAGAACCATCAGGATTGAATTTAATCCTGAATACCCATTTGCATCCAATTGCTTTCTTTCCTGCTGGTAGTTCAACAATTTCCCAAGTCTCATTAGCATCAAGGGCAGAAAGTTCTGTAGTGACTGCTGCATCCCATTCTGGGAATTGGATTGCCTCTTTGTATGTGTCAGGTTCTTTGTGGGATGAGATGGATAAAACAAAGTGTTTGTGACTGGAGGAAAGATTGGAGTAATTAAGAACAGTGGAAAGTGAGTGTTTGTTACCTTGGATGTGCTGCTGTGGAAGATGACTGGTAGAAGGAAGCTGCTGAAGCAGGTTACAATGGTAGTTTTGTAGGTGAGAGGGTGGTTTGGAGGGTCTAGTTGATTTTCTAGTGGGTTGGACTGGTTGTGGTGGTGGTGGTGAGGGTGAGGAGTGTGGGGTTGGAGAAGGGGATGGGGAGGCAAGGTTGGCAGTGTTATCATCCTCATCACTGTCTGAAGGAAGGTCTGGAAGGATAGTTGGGGGAGAGTCATGGGGTGGTGGGGGAAAGTAGGTGGGGGAAAAATCATCAAACAGGCTGGGGAGTGAGGGTTGGGGATAGGCTGGGTTGGGGGAAGTGGTTTGTTCTTGAAATGGGAAGTGATGTTCATAGAACTGGACATCCCTAGAAGTAAAAACATCATTTGTGGCAAGGTCATAGATTTTGTATCCTTTGATACCTGCAGTATAACCAATGAAAACTCCCTTTCTTGCCCGAGAGTCAAACTTAGTTCTGTGGTTTTTGAGTGTGGTTGCATAGCAAAGACAGCCAAAGACTCTAAGGGCAGTAAGGTCTGGTTTATGGTTGAAAAGGAGTTCAAATGGTGTTTTGTTTTGCAGGACAATAGAGGGTACTCGATTGATTAAATGAACAGCATGTCTAACACAGTCACCCCAAAAACCAGAAGGTAGGTTTGCTTGGAATTTTAAAGCTCGAGCAACAGCAAGGATGTGTTGGTGTTTTCTTTCAACCTTGCTGTTTTGCTGAGGTGTTTCAACACAGGAGAGTTCATGAAAGATTCCTGTGGTGTTAAAGAAGTCATTCATTTGAAACTCTTTGCCTTGGTCACTACGAATTCTTTGGATTGAGGTTTGGAACTGGGTTTGAACATAAACACAGAATTCCTTAAGTTTGGACCTAGCTTCTGACTTGGAGGATAGTAGAATGATCCAAGTCATTCTAGTGAAATCATCAACAATGGTTAAGAAATATTTGAAACCATCATAGCTAGGAACAGAATTAGGGCCCCATAGATCAATGTGAATAAGCTGAAAGGGTTTAGAGCATACAGTGGTGCTCAAAGGAAAAGGCAGTCTTCTCTGCCTTGCAAAATGACAGACATCACAAGGTAATGACTTGTCTGTGTTAATAGAGTTACATATTTCTCTCAAAGAAGGGATTTTGGAATGAGAAACATGACCAAGTCTATAGTGCCAAAGATCAAAAGTATGGTAGCTTGTGGCTGTGATGTGTTTTGGTATGCTGTCTGTTTGGTTTGGATCTATGAGGTAAAGGCCTTGGGTTAGCTTAGCAGAACCAGTCATCTTCTTGAGCTGCATATCCTGTATGTAGCAAACATTGGAGAAGAAGGTTAAGCATAGGGAAGTATTGGTAGTTAGTTTGCTGACTGAGATGAGGTTGAAACTGAATTTGGGAACAAAAAGAGCCTCCTCTAGGATAAGACCAGGAACACAGGTAACTGTTCCTGTGTGGGTTGCTTCAACCTGCTCTCCTGTTGGTAAGGTTATATATATGTTCTGGAGTCTCCTGCAGTTGGTTAGCAAGTGCAGAGAGCATACAACATGGTCTGAAGCTCCTGTATCTAATATCCATTGTTGAGGTGGAGAGATATTAGAGTCAACAATCAGGCTGAATTTACCTGAGTTGTTACTGAATGCTGCAGCTGTGAAAGATGGAGTCTTTTGGGTTCCTTTGTCTTTGACCAGAGACATTAACTTGTCAAAATATGCCTTGGTGAGCTTGATTTCGTCATTGGAATCATCATGGAGGTTGCTGGAGGAGGCATTAACAGATCCTCTTCCTCTTCCAGCACCTGTGGTAGTTTTGGGAGGGAATCCATGTTTGAAGAAACAACGTTCTTCTGAGTGGCCCTGTCTTTTGCAGAAGGTGCATTCATATATTTTCCTCTGATTGGGGGAGTTCTTGGTGTTTACTCCAGGAGGCCAGCCATGTTTGTGATAGCATGTATCCTCTGTGTGGCCTTCAAGTTTGCAGTGAGTGCAAAATGGCCGTGGTTTTCTGGTCTGGAATTGGTTTGAGGTTTGAGCAGCAAGAGCCATGCTTTCAGTAGCAAGGCCTTTGGATTGAGGCTGGCCATTGAGTTGGCGTTCATGTTGGAGCATCCTCTGAAAGACCCTGTCTATAGGGGGGAGAGTATCTCCAAACAGAACTTGAGAACGGACACTAGAAAAGTTATCATTAAGTCCTCTCAGAAACTGAATGATGTAGTTAGTGTCTCGATAGAGGAAAACCAGTTTCATTGCTTTGCAGGTGGTAGAACTTGTGGTGGAGCAGTCACATTGTTCAAGAGGTTGGTAATTGTCGAGCTCATCCTTAAGAGCAATGAGGTTGCCATAGTAATCAGTGACAGAAAGGGTACCTTGTTTCAAGGTGCAGAGAGATTCAGTGAGTTCAGCAATGCGGATGAGGTCACCCTGGCCATATCTTTCGCGTAAGCTTCTCCATGCTTCCAGGGCTGTCTTGCAAGACATGATGGTCTTCCGGATTGCAGGGTCCACAGCTTGTTGAATCCATGCCAACACCATGATGTTGTTGCGTTTCCAAGAGACAGATTGCTCACTGTCTTCTCCTGGATCTGGAATGGTTCCATCAATGAAACCAAGTTTGTTCTTGGCTCCCAATGCATTGAACATTGCTTTGTGCCAGTCATTGTAGTTGAGTGTTGTGAGTTTCTCTCCTACAAGCTGGGATCCTGGTTGCTCAGAACCATGGAGATAGTATGGATCTGCCATGGGATCTGAGTTTGCTTCCATTGGTGGCGGCTAGGGTTTAGAACCCTTGAGGCTCTGATACCATAACACTTTGTTTTGCTTTTGGAATTTTGGCTTGTATTGATTTTCAGTTCTACAATCAGCTTATATGCTGTTGAGTTGGGTTTACAGATCAAGGAAAGAAGACAAGCTTGGGACAGAAGAAAGTACACTCCGAAACAGGAAAATGAACAAGTTAATTAGTTTGGGACTTGTTTGGTAATTTGCCAGACACTACTTCACTCCAGGTTCGATGCGTCGTCGTCTCGCTTGCTGTTTGAGTTTGCTTTAGTGGATACGGCGTCGTCTGGGTTGCAACGGTCGATGGATTTGAACGTTGGAGTTCTGCCTCCTGCTCTGCTGACTCTGGTTCCATTTCAGGCGAAGAAAAACGTAGGTTTTTCTCTGATACTGGCCGATCCAGGAAACAAAGCGAGCAAATGAAGGTCCTTCCAGGTAAGTAATATTACAAAGCTAAATGGTTTTCCATTCATTGCTCTTGCTCCTTCTATATAGTGGCGACTGTATTAACCTTCAGATGCTATGCGAGTAGGAAGAGAGGTTTGGTGTTGAGAGCTCGATGGCGGCCAACATTCTTAAACATCTTCCCTCGACCTTGCCTGCAAGTGACTCTGAAAGCATGTAGGTGGGTGTTTCTATCCCTCTTAAAGACATTCTTCTCAATTGGTTTTGTACCCTGATGATGGATGGTATGTTTGCTGCAGTGCTTTTCCAGTTGTTGATATACTCTTGAATGAGAAGGAAGAGCCTCAAGTCACTTGGACTTGACCAGCTTATTGGTATACAAAATATATATATATATTTGCTTCATCTAATTTCCGATTCAATGCTCTGAACAAAGTTCTGTTTCAAGCTTTTGCAGGAGCTTCTCCTTGCCCAAGCCGAGCTTCGAATACTAATTGAGGTTAGTAACTAATTCAGTTGAACTCTATACGCCATCTTTCGGTCAGAGGTACATTTTGATTATTTTCCAAATTCAAATTACAAACATAATTTCCTCGAGCCTTAATTCTGTTCATGAACTCTTGGCTTATATTTACCTGTAGTCCATAACATCCATCATATGAAAACTCGAGAGAAGTAGTAGATAACTGAATAGGGTATATTCGAAATGATAAGTCATAAGTGAAACTCCTGCTGTAAACTTTGAGAAAGTTGGATTGCAAGGTTGCGCTTATATAGAGAAAAAAAGGATAACATTCAAGCCAGCTAGATATAACCTCTTTACTTCGACCAACAATAAGAACACTCTACATAAGTTTGTACCTGGCAGAAAACAGCTTCAGCAAGAACATGATCCAATTGGCAAACTAACTCCCCTTCACGAACATGAATATTATTAAAACCCAAAATAACGACCTGCGGAAATTAATGTTTAAATTTTTTTCCTGGATGGTACAGGTTTCAGCTCCAAGAGTGCATAGGAAGATGACGCCTGAGGTTGGATTTACATGGAATCCATACATCACGAAGTTGCTTATGGTTTGACGATGATACGAATACACTGAATGGATTGTGGGAGAACCTTTACATGATCATTTATTCCAAAATTGATCGAATGTTGAATTGTAAGCGGCCGTGTAGCATTGAACGAGTCGCTGGGAGAGAAATATTTGTTTTTGTTTCAGTATGGAGCTTGGATTTGACTGTGAAATAAATGCATTTTGTTGATTGTTGATTGTTGATTTCAGCGATCTGTTGAAACCAGTTTATCCAAGGTGTTGGATATGAGCAACTTCTGAATCAAGTTTTTATGAGAAGCTTTTAAGAGATGTTATTTTAAGGCTATAATGAGAAGTTCGTGTATTGCTTATGTTGATGAATTATTTAGAGAGTTATCTTCCATGTCTGTAGTTTAAACATCATAAGAGTTAGCTAGATATGTAAAGTGATTTTCACCTCAGATGTTGTTAACATGCTTCTACTTTTGGACTCTTCTACATGCAACTGAATCGATGTCATTTACCTAGCTGTTTACTTTTGAGTTTCAATTGCATCTTTTCATTGATCTCATTAAGGTAAAATGTGACTAGAATCATAGTAAGAAATACACTTTTATGGTGCCATGGTTCTTATTGATAAGCTTACTGAGGGTATCAAAGATCGATAGTTTGAGGATATGAAAAAGCTCTCTGGTGATGAAATCCAGCCTATAGAGGAAGCAAAGACATTCTTGGTGTTTTCTTGAACAAACTACCAAGAATTGTAGCACATCAGGTACAGAACTGGGACAAAGATATTGCAACTGGAGTTCAAATTTTAACTGAATTGTGGTATGATCCATTCATCTTATGGGTTTGAGGTTTCAGAGTTTCCAAGGGCAACAAGGCTAAATTGCATGTTCTTTTTATTTCCAACTATTGAGAATATTTGTAATTATGACCATACTTAAAAAATTGTGGATCCCTATAAGTCTCATGAAAGAGACCATTAATTGATTGAGAATGTTGTTCTATTGTTGTCAATATGATATTCTCTCTTTATATACTTCTTTTTCATTGCTGCAGATGTTAAGTTCTCCTTTGGAAAAACTCATTTTCCCATATTATGAAGTGTATGCTCTATCTTTGTCCTTTGACCAGGAAAACTACTGAGCATTCTCTTGATAATGGTTTGAGTGTGATGTTTGCTTCCATTGCAAGTCACCGACACAACCTCCTTAATGCTTATTAGAAGATGATATTGTTGCGATTTAAGTCCCCGCGGCGTAGCCGTGGGCATTGATTCTAGTATCAATAATAATTAAACTAGTAAAGTACCTTCTTCCTCAACCGGCTTTTCCTAGCAGCTTTGCAGGTTTTGTGCCAATCGTCTCTGTGTCTGTCGTGAGAAAGAAGCCTACTTCTAACTCAAATTCATATTCAGTGATGTACTTAGAACTTTATAAAGAACTAGTTTTTTAGCCCGCGCTTTGCGGCGGTAAGATTTACGTATACTGATATACACTTGTTTAATTGATATATAAAAAATAATTATCACATCAGTCAAGAAGAGAGCACATTTGATTAAACTATTATGTAGAAGTTAACTTCAACCTTTGTGTAGTGCATAATGGATTATATGATGAATATTGTAGTTAATATAATTAAAGTTTGTTTGATTGTTACATAAGAAATAACTATTATTCCATAAGTTTGACGTAATGTATATGTACTTTCATAACTTTTACAGATCGGTATTAGATAAATTATATGTAATGTATGGTCTAATAATAAAATCAAATTATGAAAATTGTCACATTTGATTAAACAATTATGTAAAATTTAACTTATCTTATGAAATCTTTACCTAATGTAAATTGATATTGTGAATATTTTATTTAATGTAGTTACAGTTGTTTTGAACTTACCTTACGAAACTTTGTGTAATACAAATTGATGGAGGATAATAATAAGGAATTAAGTTATGAACTTTATTTACAGAATCAAGTTAATAATAAAGGAATTCATGAAATTGAAGATGCAACAATTAAATCAAATATATTTAGTAGTTACATCATGGAATAGAGTTTGAGAAGATAATACACTCAATTTCTCATTTGTTTGCATCATGGAATAGAGTTTGGGAAGATAATACACTCAATTTCTCATTTGTTTGTGCATACAGCCAACCATATGTTATAACTCAGACGAAGTTTTCATCAAGACATTTTTTTATTATTCAGGAACCTCAATCTCACGTGTCAGTTTCTAGCAGCAATGTCTACTAAACCTGGAGAGTACCTGAGTTTGTTATCTAAACATGAGTTTGTACTAATTTAGCCTCTATTCATTTAAGAAGGCGAAACAAACTTTTCTCAAATTGGAATAATCACATACTAAATTTTATTGTAAAGTTTGTCTTATGTATTTGAATGAAATTGTTCACCATTGTAAAAAAAAAAAGGGAAATACAGCAACAAAAAGCAATATATAATAATAGAAAATCATTATATTTGGTGAGTTAGAAGTTGCATAAATTTGTCATATGTGCTTAAATCATGCATCATCATTAGGATAATTACAAATCTAAAGTTTAATTTCGTATTTGACAAATTGATGTTAATATAAATGCTTGCAAATATAATTGAAGAACTTCATACACATTTAAATATTTAATTGATAATTAACAAATGAGAGAGAGAGGAGGCTTGATAGATTGGGAAATGGGAATGACGTATCAGTTGTGGGGGTTTGCATAGAATATAGGGATGGGAGAGGGAGAGGGAGGTTGATTGATGGGTCTTGACTGTAGATAGGAAAGGAAGTAATTGGGTAAAAACTAAAAAGTAACGAAAAAGAGAGAAGGGATACGCGGAAAAAAAAAAAAAGTAGCAGGCGAGTTGTCGCCGTTTCTTTATGGGCTCAAATCAACGGTCATACTTGCCTAGCCTAATATGGTGAACTCAGGTTCACATAAAAACGGCCACATATGATTATAAAATCCCATAGTGAACAGTAAATTCCGATTTTTTCTTAAGGAACAGTAATCTCGATTTTATGGTAATTTTTAAGGACTTGTGTTTTAATAATTCTAATAATAGAGTGTACGAAAGAGGGAATTATGCCTCCAGCTTCTTGGTCACTTTTGGAAGGATCAGTCGACTCATGGGAGACATTCTCAGTAGACTGCATGTGGTAATAGATTAAAATATCAGCAATCAATCACAAGCAGGAAATAAAGTAACACCCATCAATGAAGGAAAAACTTAACTGTTTGAGTTTGAACTTTGTTTCCAATAGCTGTGCAACATTGTTATCCAGTGGCGTTCAACTTATAATTGCCCATCCAATTAGCTTTCATTGTCTACCACATAACAAACATTCAAGTATCTTATCAGCAGCAGAGGAAATTCATAAATTCGAGCAGCAGTATGAAACCAAAAATGCCTAATCTGCCCAGTAATCCGGTCAAGCTCTTTAATCAAATCAACATGAGAGAGAGAGGGAGAGAGGCAGGAGATGTGAGGTCGGGGTGAGCTCTTCTCCTTTGTTTTGCAGGTCTAAAGCGGCGGATGGGCAGAGCAGTGGCTTCTTGAAGGGAAGAGTCATGCGACAGGCAAGAATGGGATCCAAGATTGTGTCTATATGCAAAATCAGTACAGGAGTGCCCGGGGTCTACAAAGTTCAAACGGAAGCATAGGGAAGAAGATGGAGCGTTGCGATGGATGCAAATCAGATTTCATGGTTTCAGGGTATTCTTCAAACAGCAGCTATGAAAGGGTGGTCTTTTCCTAAGGGTTGTGTGAAAGTGAGTGGCAAGCGATCAATTCACGTTGGGAGGGCGTCGAACCGACGGGGGCAATATCTGCAAGTTTCAGAACAGGCGGCGCATGGGAAAATATACAAAATCATCATCCCTCCGGCCAGCGATTCCTTCGGCTGGGCTCGACTTACCAGGCTGCTTCAGGATTTCTACGCGGAGGAGATTCTTGCCCGGTCTCACATCGCTGGCCTGGCGGTCAGGATAAGAACCTCGCAGAGCCTAATCTTCCTTGTCCGGTTTCCCCAGGAGTTACCTATGCTGATGCGGTTAGATATCGAGGTTTCTACGGTGGAGGTATATGCGTTATCAAAGAACATGGAAACAACAAATTTATACAAGTTGAAAAGGATGGTGTCAAGGAAAGATTGAACCTCCTGGGACGTAGCATTGTCATCAAATTTGTCTCGGACAAGGAAGTTTTCACTAGAATCTTGATTCCTGAATTCATGAAATGGGCTTCTAGTGCGTGGGCGCTAACCGAGTCATGCGGACTGGAGGATCTGTCAAATGGAAGCTGCTTATAATTAATATGTTCGAATCCTTCTGAAGCATCTCGCATTAAGGTTCTACATCACTCTAAGTTCAGAAGCTTTCGGATTCAGTGTTCCCTTTGGACGCCTGAAACAGGACGTGGGGGTCTCTCTTCGATGGACGAAGCATGGCTTTTTGTGTTTGGCATTCCGGCATTCCCTACCACCTCAAAAGCGCGGAGTTGATCAAATCCATCGGGAACTACTGCGGCAATTTTTTGGACATTGACTGGAACTCGTGGAGCTCTCCTTTTGTTAGAATTAGGATCGCCGTCGTTGGCCTTATCCCCGAAGAGGTCCCGGTGGTGTTCGACGGAGTGACTTATCCGGTCAAAATTATCGTGCCGCCGGTGAAGACCGTTGGCAGGATTCTTGGAAAGGGAAGGGCCGCTTTTTGAACATTTCAAATGTCTCTGATGGCCCTTCGGGTGGTGTGCTAGCATAGCAGCCGGCGGTGACGCCTCGTCTACTGCACTGATTACCATGCATACATGGATGAGGTGTGAGGGGTGGCGTTGTTAACTTAAAAGATGGGTGAGAAAGGAGGGTCCTTTACTAGGGATGGCAATCAAACCCATGCCCATGGGTATCCGACTGCCCTCGATCTAGTCAACGTGGGGAATCTCCGCTTTGACTGGGTATGGGACGGGTATGGGTAAAACCCGCAAAATGTTTGATGGGTATGGAGCGGGTATGGTTTTAGCCTCCCCCGCCCCATACCCATACCCATGCCCGCCCCACCTAGAATATTTGTTCACATATAAAAAATACATGGATGAAATAGTAATCTATCAATGATAGTGAGGGTAAATAAAAAAATAATTAATAGAAATGCAATTGAGTGGTCACCCAAATCAAAACCTAATTCATTTTCCTCAACTCTCTCTTCACTCTTTCACTTTTCCCTCGTGTTAGCAAGATTATATTAGTTCATTATTGCTTAGTATATGTATTAGAGTCGGATAAAT